TGAAATCCCTATGAAACGAACATCAGAATATTCACTCTATCCAGTAAGTACATTAAAAAATAATGTAATAAAATTTGTAAAATCTACGTAGATCAGAGTAATAGAAGGCCACAAAGAGGGGACATTTGAACTAGGCTTTGAAGGATGAGTAAAATTTGGGCATGCAGCGAGGAAGAACACAATAAAGCTTGGTTATTGTTGCCCTAATGAATAGTTACTGGCAGCCATTGCTGTTCTTTCATAATCAGGAATAGAAAGTGTGTGCAACTCAGCCACTGAAATCATCTCTCATTTTTTTCCTTGATGAAACTGAAAAGGAAACACAGGCTTCAAGACTTGAATTTTGGATAACCCTTTGAGAACTCTTCTCTTCTGGAAAAGCGGGGGACTTTTCTAGAGACGAGGCCACATGTGGCCACCACCATCAGGGAGGCAGGACTTCTGAACTAGACACAGGGGAGATGATTACTATCTAGGGAAATGAGTCTGGAGACCAGCATGCTGTCTCCAGTACCCTGTGCAGCCTTGGGTAAGACCCTTACCCACCCTGGGCTGCTTTCCTCGTTGGTAAAAGGATGAGGGTTAGGAGCTGACTTCCTCTGTGTGTGCTTTGACTTTTGGAAAGTGACCTCATTAACTGATTTGCAGTAAGGTTTTACCAGCTTAGTACATAGTCTCTCCCCAGAATTTCTGCACTTTATCATTTTGCAATATTGACCAGAGCAAAGAGAAAGTGTTAGTCTCTGAAAACTATCAATTAAAGGCAGGTGTCACGCTTCATTACGTTTGCTGGCAGAGTCTCTAATATTGCACTGGTGTCTTGGTGCTAATTCCTCCCCAGTTTCCACTGGTTGGAGTTTAGGAGGCCATTTATATCTCAGTCAAGGTAAGTGAGAAATGGGAACAGAGATCTGAAAAGAAATAATAAACTGCTCAAAAATGATTAAATATTTTTTTTAACTGTGACCAGGGATAGATAGCCTATTCACAAATCATGGGAAAATATTCAGCTCGTAAAGAGAAAGCTTCAAAATTAAAAGAATTTCTACTAAGCCATTATTTAAAGCTAGTAAAAATTCTACTCTGACCTGTGCCAACTAACTTCTTGAGGTTAGAACCAAGAGTTTAGCATTTGTTCTGTATGTTTGATTTTGACTCCCCAGCCAGATTTACAAACCATTTCATATTCCTTTATAACAAAATTTTACATTTTCCCGAGTCTGCAAGTCATCTTAAGTAAATCTTGGTTTTTCTCCTTGTAATGAGTTTCTGTGGCATGTAAAGTTATTTTAAATAATTAAAATCATTTTATTTAACACATAGTTTAAAGTTTTCAATGTTATTAAAAGATTATAAATTGGAAAATGCAATTAACAGATTTTCCACACATTGTTTCTAAATTCCTTCTTATGTTTCAAAATAGGCACCTTTTTCAAATTAGTCTCTAGTTGAGATGTTGTTTGATTCAACTTTTTTTGTTTTTTACTTTTGAATTAGGTATTCATGGGGTTCAGAATTCAAAAGAGATAAAAGGGTATCCAGAGGAAACTTCCCTCCCACCCCTGTCCCCAACCATTCAGTTTGTCTCTTCAGGGGCAGCCCAGGCTGTCCTTCCAAAGATATTTTAGTCATACCCAGGAAAGTAGGTTTACATATTCTTTGATCTCCCTTTTCCATGCAAATAGGAGCATTCACTACACTCTGAATTGCACCTCGCTTTTCTCACCTATCACTGCATTTGAAGGTCAGTCCATATCCACCCCATACAGAGAGCGTCCTCTTTCTTCTTGATAGACAGCAGGTATCCCAATGAATGGCTGTCTCATACTTTATGTACTGAATCCCCTATTAACGGCCAGTTGGGCTGTTTCCAATCTTTTGCAATTGACAACGACAACAACTAGCTCACACTGCGTGCCAAGCTTCATTCTGTGTGCTTCACATAAATTATTTTATTTAATCCCCAGTGCTGCAAAAAAACAAAACAACAACAACCCTTTCACATACATGATTTCACACAAGGGGAATATTTATGCCTGACAAATTCTTAGAAGTAGAATCTCTTGATCTGAGGGTTACGTGCATTTAATTTTGGCAGGTAGAGTGGATTTACATTTACACGCCCGCCAGCAATGTAAGAACATGCCTGATGGCTCCCACCGTGTGCTATCAAACTTTTTGATTTTTGCCAACCTGACAGGTAGAAACATGTATTTCAGTATAGCTTTAGTTTGTATCTCTTGTGAGTGAGTTACAGATCCTTTTGTAAGTTTGAAAACAGTTTGTGTGTCCTTTTCTATAAAATATTGTAGTGTTTGCTCATTTGCATATTGAGCTGTCTTTTTAAAATGATTTGCAGGTCCTCTCTATATATAGTAGGATGATTAGACATTGCCTGTGATATGAACTGAAAATGTTCTTTTGGCTTTACTTTAAACTTTAAAGTTTTTTTTTCCATGCAGAATTTTAAATGTTTTTACATAGCTGAATTTATTAATATTTTTTAGTTTCTAGTTGTTAGGAAGCCTAAGATTATTTTTAAAAAAATTTCCTGTGGTTTCTAATGGTTTTATGTTTTTTTTTACATTTAAAGCTTTGATCCATTTGGAATTTACTATAATAAAGTTTTGGAATTTTATACAGAGTGAGGGATAAATTCAACTTTTTTTTTCTAGATGGATATCTAGTTTTACCAATATTTATTGACTAAACTATCTTCCACAAATGAGAGATGCCACCTTTTATCATAAGCTAAGTTCTCACCCTAACAGAGTTCCAGAGTAAGATGTGTTCAGTGTTATTTAATCAGATGCTTTTCAGGATAATCTTAGTTTTATTTTATTGAAATAGACAGTTAGGTAGGGTAGAAAGAATACTGGATTAGGAGAGGCTGCTGGCAATTCCTCTCCGTCTGTTCTCTTCCTAATTTAATGATAACAACAAACACGTAGAACATTGCCTAGCCTATAATAAGTGCTAAAGGCTTTCCATATGTCAATCATTCAGTATATGTAATCAAAAAGTTCATAGTCGGTTATGAATTTAAGAATGTAAAATATTATTACTAATAAAAATGTTGATTGGCTCTTTCAGCTTAGTCAAAAACAAAACAAAACAAAACAAAACAAAACCCAACCAACCAACTTGCTCTAAGGTATATGAATAGAAAGTGCCATCTGGGACAGCCCGGGGACCACGACCTTAACCTTCACATTTCTGTGTCCTCACTAATGCTGATCCCTAGGGCTGAATGCCCCCCCTTCTCCCCCCAACACAGAAGCGTGTGCCCTTCTTTTCTTTAGGGACCACCCAAGTGTTATCTCCGGGCCTCTCTTCCGGGTGGAATTATTCATGCAGTCATCTAATTCCCTGGCACTTTATACACAATGGTATGCATTATAATAAATATTTATTTTGTCTCCTCAATTAGACTTGAATTTCTTGAGGGCAGAGTTTCTTGAGAACAGGGCCTGTGCATTATTCATTTTTGTATCTTCGTATAGCTCCTGGCCTAGTTCCTGGTCTGTGAAGAGGTGTTCAGCTGAGGGAAAAGAATAAAAATTTGCACACATGATTATACATTATCCTATTTGATAAAAGTTGAAAAGGCCTCCATCAGAATCCGAGCCCCAATAGCTGGTAAACCCAAACAATTTAATCATTTGTTCTATTTTTCTTTGCTGATATGAGAACCTGAGTGCAAGTGGTGTATGGCTGATTTGAAAGGTGTGATCTACACGGTGAAAATAAAACATTTTCTGTGACTGTATATTTTAGCTTTCACATTTTATTTTAAAAAGCCACACTTGGGGTGCTAGTTAAATAAGAATGTTGTTGATCAAAATTAGATTAGGAAATAAATCCAGAAACATTACTTATCAGACAGTCAGACTTCTGCCAGCTACAACTTTCTGGAACATATTCAAGAACCTAGAAGGAATCCAAAAAGGCCTCTGAAACTGGAAGAAAATAGCTCTCACAAAGTCTGTGTACTTGACGTAGGAGGGGAGTCACGGTGGCACTCACATGCCAAGGCCTGCTTACTGGCTTTGAATTTTCACAGAAAACTCTAAGGACTGCTTAGCAAGTTTGGATATTCAGCTTCTTTTCAAGACATTTTTGCTTGTCTTTAGGTTTCAGTACAAAAAAGATTAAAAGAATTCTCCCACCCGTGCTGCCAAAAGGCACTAACTAAAGCATTGTTGAAATGAGTGTAAAAGTGAATCTCAGGTTTTTCCTTGGAAATCACGGAAGCTTACTTTGTTTTATATTTTTTCATCTTTAAGAATTCTGATTGACTCATATCAAATCCATTGTGGCCATACTTAATTTATTTTTAATTTTTTTGTAAATACATACGTTCACATTCTATTTGCCTGCTACCAATCAACCTTGATATTTTAATGGTCTGGAATGGGTTTCCTGGAGCAGAATGTTCAGATGCAGCACGGGGCCTGTAGAGAAATCATCGCTCAGACAACCACCGATCTTCACTTTTGTCCCGGAGCCCCTGTGCTGTGAGTTGTGGGGCGGGTGGGCTCCCATCTCTGGGACTATCCTGCCTCCCCCACTAGCTGTCCACTCCTGGAGGGCAAAGGCCCCTTTGGCACCCACTGTGTCCCCCCCGCAATGCCTGGCCAGGCCATGCTACACAAGTCTATTTTTTTTTAACCTGCGGTTTTAAAAGAATGATAATCCCTTTGATCTCAGCTCTTTGAGGGTGATTACTTTTGAGTAGAAAAACTTTATTCCTGTATTCAGGTATTTATGTAATTTATCATAGGTTGATATCCTTAATGTGAAAGGAACAGGTGCAGATTTCTTTGCAGAGTTTGGTAAAAGCTGTGTAAGGAAGCCAAGAGGAAGAGTCAAAAGGCATGTTTAAATGATTTGGGGACTATTTTGATGCATGCTGATCATGCCTTTCATGGAGGGATGATAGCTCGCTCATGTCATAAAAACAGGTATCACTCAGCTTTCTTTCTCTCTTCTCTTTCTAGTTGCCAAAATGCTTTGGAGTTTTTAACTGACTTTAAGAAAAGTCCGAAATAGATTTGAAACTGTCAAAACAGAAGCTGCAGCAAGGGGGATTCAGTGCCAATGCATCAACAAAAAAGACAGCCAGAGTTAGTGGAAGGAAATCTTCCGGTGTTTGTATTTCCCACGGAGCTAATATTTTATGCAGATGACCAGTCAACACATAAGCAAGTGTTGACTCTGTATAATCCCTATGAGTTTGCCTTAAAGTTCAAAGGTGAGTCTCCTAGGTCTCTTTTATGGATTTTAACCACTCCCTACTAATTTTTTACTTGTAGAAACTAATTTAAAAAAAAAACCCACTAATGGCCATTGTGACTTTTTCTTTCAGTTTTGTGTACTACTCCAAATAAGTATGTTGTCGTTGATGCTGCAGGTGCAGTAAAGCCTCAGTGTTGTGTGGATATGTAAGTCAAAATCACTTCCTGGTAACATGTTTTAAGTGTGTTAATATTTATGTGTTTAACTTGAAAAAACATCTTTTCTGGAACCTGCTCCCACGTAGGCATTAATTATATTGTGCATTTTGGCTGGAAGTTTAAGTCTATCAACATTCTTTTTAAGAAGTTTCTAAGAAATTCTAAACAGGTTGGCCAAATAATAATTTGGAGCTGATGTGTGTGATATAATTTCCACGAACATCTCCTCATTGTTGTGCTTTTAGTCATAGCAGGGACATTTATGGAGGTAAAGTTCTAACATTCCTTTAAATTTCTCTAGCTATATGTAATAGGGAATTAGCCTTCTTTGGAACATCCTGGTGTTAGAGTGACATTTGGGAAGCTAATACTATGCTCTCAGAACATTGGTAATATAAATTCATCTAAAATGATTCAGCTAATAAGCCCGGAAGTTAACCTGTACAAACAGGAAGCAAGTGTGTAACTACTCATCTGTAAAAGGTTATCTGAGCTCTTCCAGATAATTTCGTCTTAGAGTGTCAGATAAATGTTTGTTCAAGCTGTTCATATTTAATTTTCACTTTAGAACTAGTGGTGACCAGATGGATCCACTGACTAGCCCTTAATTTAAGCTACCAAGTGAGCTGTATTTGTTTAAATCTTCCATGAGGATGAGAAGCAGAAGTCTTTTCTTTTGCGTACGTTTTCATCATCTCAAAGCTATAAAACAATGTATCTTTGAGGACGTGGTTTTGCACATTTCTTTTGACTTTCATTCAGTACACAATAAGCGAGGACTATGCCAAAGAAATACAGTCTCTTGCCAAATAAGTGTGTTACCTTTGACCTGTTTTGTGTTCTCTGTTAAGAACGAAGTAAAATAAATGGCATTGCAGATAACTTTCATAAAAATTAAAGTGCTTTATACTCTTCAGAGAGATACAGAAATGTATTCTTAGCTTTCTGTTGCGTTACTCTTACTGGGTCAACTACTTACTCAATTGTTTATTTTTACCTGTGTGCATAGATTTCAATTTTAAGTCTAGGGTGAGGTTTGTTACTTAAACAATAAAGAAGTGGCAATAGAAATGTATAAGACTTTTGTGGGGAAGAAACAATGTCATATATCCTATTTAGTGAATATTACTGCACACAGATATCCAGGAAAAAATGTCATTGCTAAAAGGAATTTTCCTTACCTATCAGTCTTTTAATTAAGACTTTTATTCATCAGATATTTCAGAATTACCCCATTTCTTTTCGGGTTATACTGTGAGTTTTTAAAAAGCATCATCAGCGAATTTCTGTATTTGAGTATTTGCTTACAGTCAGTTCATACATACGAAATCTTTTACTGTTTAAAATCTCTTGCTGAATTCTGTTTGACAGGCCTCCAGAAACCTAAACAGCATTTGTTATTTTTTAATGTTTTCAGTGTGATTCGCCATAGAGATGTTCGATCCTGTCACTATGGTGTAATAGACAAATTCCGCCTCCAAGTTTCCGAGCAAAGCCAGAGGAAGGCTTTAGGAAGGAAAGAGGTTGTGGCTACTCTTCTCCCATCGGCAAAAGAACAACAAAAGGAAGAAGAGGAAAAAAGAATAAAGGAACACTTAACTGAAAGTTTATTTTTTGAGCAGTCATTTCAACCAGGTAGTTTGGATTGTTTTTAAAGCTCTTTTGAGGTCTTACACATTTTTTAACTTTAAAGTAAACAGGGAGCAAAGAATTACTTGAACAATCATCTGCCACTTTAAACCTAGTCAACTCCTTCAAAAGTGGACCTAGAGATCGGGCACCTAAACTCGAACAAGAAGCCTAGAACTGGCCTTTCAGAGAAAAGAATGCCTCTCCCCAGATGAGGCTGTAAGGAGAGGGCGACTGTTACCATCGCCTTTTAAGTCTATAAAACCTGAGAAAGCAGGCACTGTACTTTACAATGCTAGCGCAACCTGGCAATTCTATACTTTTGTTTCTGTGACTTTCCTATATCCTTTCTCATTTAATTAATTCAAAGAAGGAGAGAGATTGTGTTTGGCAATAGGCCAAGCTTGGTGCACTGTTCATATTATTTTGAAAAAAAAATCTCATTAAAGTTGAAGTTAATTAAACTAAGTAGATTATAATATCCCCTGTGGGCTATTAATTGAATCCCTCTCCATTCCTCATTTCCTTCCAGCTTAGATATTCAGGAGTGTTATGATATATTCTTTCAACATTGACACTATCCTCATATTCAACTCTTTGGATGTCATTCCCCTCCCTCTTCACTTCTCATTATCTCCCTCCAACCCTATTATAAGGGGAGGAAGATAAAATTTTCCAGAGAAAAGCATGGAAACTTTTTGATAGTGATATATGAATGCGATAGCAGCTGTCCTTGAAATTGCAACATTATATGTGAGGGATTAAAAACCACCTACTTGTCATTACATTAATTCAATAGATCCGTATCAGTTTGTTCAACTTAGAATGTTTGTTTCGACAAGACAGGGAGTGATGCCTCTTTGATTTACTATAGCCGAGTGGCTCCTCAGTTCATGTAGGGGAGGGAGTGCCCAGATTTTCTGGCGATACCAAGACTAGGAACTAGGTAGTAGCTAGTAGATTGTTTTCTTCTCGGCAACTATTATTAACTGACAGGACCAGTTTTTCATGTTTTCAAGCTGAAAGAGAATCTCTGTCAAATGTCACTTTGATGTCCAATCAATATTGTGAAGTTGACTTATAAATAGCTGTGAAATGCCAGATTCCTGTTTTAAAATGACTCCTGTCAAACAAGAAAGGCCATTTGAGTATTTGGTTTTTGGTGTTAACTTTGTAATTTAAAGCAAAGTGGTCATTGGAGACCGTGTTTGTTTTTAACGGACTGGTTTAATGGCCAAGAATAATAAGGGTTAAAAGTTTAGTGTTTTATATTATATATTTTCTTTTATTTTTAAATTGTTTAGCATTCAAGTGAAAATCATCCTAAAAGGCTAAATAATTACAAAAGTATATTAATTGAGCATTTTATTCTTATTTTCTTTTTATAATGAACCCTTGTATCTGAAGTACATTAGGGAATTCTTCTAATTGTAAAATTGGAGTAGGTAGATGAATAAGGATAGGTGATGTGGGGATAGCCCATGGTGGTCTCTGTTTTGAAAAGAAAACCCACCTCTCTAAGCCATCCTCTTCAGGAAGCTCAGTGGAGGCAGGCACCTGATTTGTCTTGTTCATCATTACGTCCTCGGCACCCAGCACTGTGCCTGGCCCGGAGCAGTTACCCAGGAAACATGTGCCCCGGCCTCCCTAGGAAGGCCGGGCTTCTCACCTGGTAGGGGCTGTTGGATCGGTTGTGCCTTACAGGGTTTCCACGGCTACTTCTGCTCTCTAGAGCGAGGGCGATACCACAGTCTCTGCCAGTAAGTCCCATTTGTGGGTAGTTACCCCACTGCTTCTGACAATATGGCAGGAAATTGAGTAAAGGAATAAGGTCTAACAGTCTATGCTGACAAAGTGATATGTTTAGTAAATTAGCAGTAACTCATGTGTAGTCCCCAGTATGTAGGAGTCTAAGGCTTTTCATTAAGTTTCTCTGAAATAAAACGTTGAAGCAAATCGAGAGTGTTCTCAGGGAGGTTTTGAAATGTCATTATTAAAAAAAAGAAAAGAAATGTCATTATTTTTGCACGCCTTCAGCTTTAGAAAATGTTTTTTAGATATGTTACAGACACAGCATTGTGAGGCTCCCTTTGTGAGTTTAGCTGGAAAATGGTTGGAGCTGTATCGTGAGAGATTTGGATTTTAAAATGTGGTGAAAGGCAGTAGAAATGAGAAATTTCTTCTCAAGTTTATGTATTGTATAAAAGACATGTAGCAGTAACAGCACCTATATTCCCCCACACTTAACAAATCTGCTTCTATAAGTGTTCGATGTTTCTCTCTAGACCTTGTCTATGCACATAAATGCAATTTTATATATACATTTTAAGAGACAGCCACAAAGCATCCTTGCACAAAATACCGAAGCCCAGGTTATGAAAAAGGTGTTTTAAAAAGATGCAGCTGAATCTTAGTGGGTTTGTGTTAATTACATTACTAATGAATGGCTGGCTGTGCCAGGTTTGAGCCACTGCCCTCTGGCTGAAGAAAATTATGCTCTTTATTATTGTTTATAATAATAAAGAATTGAAAATGATCTGAAAGCCCATCAATGGGGATTGATTAAATTATGAATATTCATCAGATGGAATGTCAGGCAGACATTTACAAGGATTTGATAGAATGGTAGATAGTTATAAATTGACATAGAAAGAGGTTCAAATATATTTCCAAGTGAGAAGAAAAAGGTTACAGAACAGTATGTATAATATGGTCTCATTTATGTAAAAAAATATTTGACATGTTTATGTGGGTATTTGTAAAATCTAGACCAAGGATCTATGCCAAAGGTTTATACCAAGCTGTAAACAGTGTTATCTCTAGAAGGATGAGATTACATAGGAACCTTTATGTTTTCTACATCTCTAAAATTTTTACAACCCTGTAGTATCAGAAAAACTTTCCACTTTGAAAAATGTCAAGCATTTATGTGAATGTTTTGGGGATTTCTGTAAATAGTAAAAAAAAAATAGTAAAAATTCCTTAAAATTATCTTTACTGTGGGTTTGCATCGAAGAGTGTAGTTGTCCTAAATATTTGCCTTCAAAACTTACCTTTGCACCAAATATAAAAGTACTACATTCATTAACAAAAGTAAGACTTCTTTTTAGGTGTTTATGCCATTGTTTCATCTCAAGTAATAATCACTATAGAATTTGGATTTGTTTTCACCTATCTGGCTTTGGTGAGGCTCAATTAAATTTCACACAACAGCTAAGTTATTAATAGTTGAGAAAAGCTGCATTTAATAATAAAATGAACAGCGTTATTTCATCAATAAAACACCAAAATTGTGTTGCTGTTGGCTGTTCCTTTTAATGAAAGGAAGGGTAGTGGAAAAAGCCCACCAGATGACAGAAAATGCTGTTGGGTTTCTTAAAAATATGGGTATGAGTATTGTACACTTACAGCCAGAACTGTAGAAGAGCAGGCCTGGTAATAAATGTTTTGTAAATTGTATTTTATTGTGGTAAGAACACAACATGAGTTCTACTCTTTTAACAAATTTTTTTAATGTACAGTAGAGTATCATTGAGTTGCACACTGTTGGATGGCTGAGCTCTAGAATGTATGCATCTTGCATAATAGAGATTTTATGCCCGTCAGCAACGCAGCCCCTGGCAACCACGATTCTGCTTTCTGATTCTATGAGTTTGACGATTTTAGGTTCCCCATAGAAGTGGCATCATGTAGTGTTTGTCCTTCTGTAGCTGATTTATTTCATTTAGCATAATATTTGCCAGATATTGTTTCTGCTGCTTTTTTACTTTTATGCTGGAACTAGGGGTAGAGCAGAGGGCAAGAATTTTCTGAGGCACCTGTAGTAATATTAAAGTAGTCCCTTTTTGGTGCCTTAGTTTCAAAAATGGTAGCATCATGGTGCACCTATTAGGACCAAACCTGTCTCAACACCTACATAGGATACTCCCAGAAGGTAGTGGGGCTTTACTGCAAGTGGGCTCCAGAATGGACCACACACAAGCAGTGAACTGGGGTATGGGCAGAAAATGCCAGAAGTTCCATTTCTAGCTATTTTTAGCTCAGTCTCTTAAAATTCTATTTGTCTGTTCTATACTAAACCTAATCGTACCATTCTTAGGTTTGTAACTGATAAACATACCCAGATGAGTCACGCTGGAACACCCCACAGGTTCCGGTGGGGAAGGGGGAAAGGATGACGGCCGCTTTCTCCTCTGTGGGGACTCACGACCTCACAGTGCCGCTTCAACACTCCATCTTGTAACGACTCAGAAGTGATGGGCTTCCAGATAAGTCCAGCAGATAAGGCCCCAAAGAATGGAAATGAGGGGGAAAGGGGCAGAGAAGTTAGACAAAACCAAGACCCTGGCGAGTGGTGGCCAGACTGTGAAGGAACTTTTGTCTGAAGTTGTTTTTAGGAACAGGCTCAGGGATTTTTGTCTTTTGACAGAAAACAGAACTGCCTCCTCAGGACCTAGTTTACTGACTGTCTTCCTGGGAGTGGTGTGCATTGCGGCTCTGATGCTTCCCACGCTGGGGGATGTGGAATCGCTGGTGCCTCTCTACCTCCACTTAAGTGTGAATCAAAAATTAGTAGCTGCTTATATCTTAGGTAAGTGTTTAAAAGGTGCATCTGGGGCATACGTGTAGGCAGGTTCTTTTTCTTGAAAAGAACAATACATTGTTCCTTTATTTCATGATTTCTTCAAAAAATCTCGTCTGGACTAAATTGTGTCCTAAATACTTGCAATATACATCTGTAAAAACATGGAAGTTGTGGAAACAGCAACATTAAACTCAGTAAGGCAAGGATTCCTAACATGAGTCAAGGCCCAGAATCTTTAAATGGCTTGCCCAAAGACTATTGATTACAATTAACCTTCTTTTTAAAATTAAAAAAAAATTTAATACAATCTTTAAAGGTTACTTTCCACTTAGAGTTATTACAAAATACTGGCTCTATTCCCCGTGTTGTACAATACATCCTTGTAGCCTGCCTTATATACCCAATAGTGTGTACCTCCCCTCCCCTGCCCCTATGCTGCCCCTCCCTGTGTGGGCAGTTTTTATGGTCTGGAGGTGGTAGTGGTGGTCTTACGTGGGTATGGGGTGATGGTGGTGGCTTGATTTTTTTTTTTATCTAAAAGATTGCTTCAAAAGCATGTTGATGTAAAGTGCATTTTAAGATTTAATTTTTGGCTCACATTTAGTTCTTTTCAGCTTATTTATCTAGTACCTAATACTATATTTATTCAATTATTTTCCTTTTGCTGATTTACAATGGCATAACATGTTTACATGTATAACATGTAAAATCCATATATTCCATGGTACAGCACTTCTTCTAGGAACTGATCCTAGGGAAACAGACAAAGTGCATACAGTGATAAACATGGACAGTGCAGCCTTGTTTAATATTGTGACCCTTTCTCTTTAAATCAGTTCCCTCGTTTCCTGTTTAATCATTCTTTCAGTCATCCTGGCTTGGCATCTTACAGTTAATTAGTTCAACTGAGCAAACATGTATTCAGTATCTATCACATGTCAAGGAGGAGGGTTCTTTCCTCGTCGTCTCTCACCTCTTCTGAGATGCCAGCTCTTTTTTATATTCTCTCAGAATTCCTTGGTATGCTCTCTTTTTTAAATTACAAAATTGTCTTCTAAATTGTCTCCCTGACTTCTGTTTGTGTCCCTTCTCTTCCTATTCTCCCCTTTTACCACCCCTCATTATTCCTCCCCCAAACCATCCATCACAGTGCCGACAGGTTGATTTCCATCCTGTGTCAGTTTCACCACCAGTACTCCCTACTTAAAAACCTTCAGTAATTCCCCATAATCCACAGAATGAAGTATAACTCCATAGTTTGGCATTTAAGACTTTCCGTACTCTGAGTCCTCCCTGAGCTCATCTTGTCTAGCTGCTTCCCTGGAGAAATCCTTGATTAGAGCCCATTATTTATTGAGCCCCAAAAAGCTCACCTGGAGCCCTGGTCCTAACTTCATGCCCTGGCTCTTGCCATTCCCTCACCTGAAATGCCTGCCAATCTCGTTCTATATCTCTCCTGTCCATCTTTTAGGCTTATTCTAGCTTTACCATTTGGGGCATCTTCTCTGACTGCCCCAGTCCTATGTGATTATTTTCCTTCTCTACTTTATTTCACTCACTTTTTTTTTTACCACTCATTTAGGACTGAGTACATTCTTATATTATAAATTTTTTATGGTGTGTATGGAGTCTCTTCAGAAGACACCAGCCAAGCAAGAATACTATGTTTCTGTCCCTGGGATATGAGTAGGCTCACATCGTTTTTGTTGATGAAGTTTCCTAACACTGGCTGGTTTTCCTGACACTTTAAAATGACATGTCTGTTATTATTATAGCTGATGCAACTGGATAAAGTGGGAGGTATATTTAATGGTTAAAAAATTAGCTATGGCCAGACATTAGTGATTTCATTAAATCTATCCAGTGACTGCCTATTGCTGTAAATTGGATTTCTTCTGTATCGTATCAACTAAATTCAAATTGACTCTGAGTTCTTGGTTGAGTGCCTGCCTATGTGCTGTATTTTATTTGCTCATTGAGGTCTAAACAATTATTTACTGAATGGAGGATTTTGTAAAATGCATGTTTTTAATCATTCTCCCTTTTTTTTACTTTCAGGTCTTATCACAATGGCTATACTTAGAACATGAGCAAGGAATTCAGTTGGCTTCTGAAGTAAATTTATCTTGAAAATATGAATGTAGACTGCCTTTTATCTCTATTTCACTCCATTAACGTGGTACAAACTATTGAATGATTTACAATAATTGTAAATGTATAATATATATTTTAAATTACTCTATAATTTTATTCCAAGGACTCCAACACATTATGGTACAGACAGCAAGGATGCTTCTGAGTGACACTTAGGAAATTATTTGAAGAAATTCTTTTTATATCTAAGTCCACTGTGCAAAGGACTTTAATTAAGACATTTGTTATATTCTCTTTTCTAATTCACTTTGATTGTTGAGGTCATGTGTCCCTCAAAGTTAAAGGCCTAAAAGAGCAAACTGACCAGCTTAAAAATAAAATTACATTTCCTAGCTATGAACATCAATGTTACGATGTAAATTACATCTTGTCCTCTATCATTATAAACAGTTGCCATGGTGTTTTTAAAATAAGAGTTTTACAGTTAACGTGTAGAAGGTAAAAAAAAAAGCCTAAAGTACTGACAGCTCATGCTTATCTGAGGGTCTCACAAAAGACAAGACATGTTTAATTTATCTGGTGAATTACGGAATAGGTTGTAGTCCAACCACCAAGAAGTAGGGTGACCATTCAATTTGCTCTAAGAATTCTAAAGGAAGGTAGGCGTTTGTTTAGTTGGTTGGCACACCCTGGCTTTATCTCTGGATAACGCTTTATGTTAATAGGAGGAAAGAATCACTTTACCTTTTCTCATCAGTCCTTTACCTGACTGTGACGAGCCCAGATTGGGACTACCAATGCCAGGTGGTTTATGTGAAGATGATTTTTCACCTTTAAACTCTAAGCCAAGTATAAAAACTCCTCAATATCTATGTCGATTTTATATCAGCCACTAAGACATTTTTTAAGTTTGTATTTATTACTAAAATAACTTTACCAAAAAAAGTCCCCAAAGCACAACTATTTACATTTCTTTATAGCCTCTTCTGATCTCTAACGTATATATGCAGTTTTAACTATTATTGTTATAGTAACTGATCTTTTGACTTAGGATTTTTATCTGAGAGCACAATGCATTAAGAGTCTCTTGAAAATCATCTTTCAGATCTTTTTACAGAATGAACTTATGCACTGCTACTGTAGTATTCTCCAGGAATATACGTAAACACAAGATGTATGTCTGAGGTTGGTTTTTGTAGGAAATAGTACTTTGCTTCTAAAGTAAAAGGTTTTACGTATACTCTTTCATAGAAAATCCTTATTGTTTAACCATTTGGGGAGCATAAATCATTAAATGGATCATTGTGTAATGACTGAAAAGCACATAAATGTAATCTATTTTGAACTTTGTAAAAAAAAAAAAACCTTGTGTTTGGAGGCTATCCTTTTTGTTTCTCTGTCCTCAAGTCCTCTGTGTGTGTGTGTGTGCGTGCATGTGTGTGTGTGTGTGTGTGTGAAATAACACATTGTAAAGAACAGAAATTACTTTAAAAAATAAAAAGAAAATGGAGACCTACGTTTCACATTGATTTACATATTTCCTTTGGGTATACCTCTGAGGAACTCTAAGTTTTAGTCCCCTGTTTCCTAAAGCTGTCTCCTATTCCTGTGAGTTAAAGAGCAAAACTAAGATGTGAAATATGTGAGGTAAAATGTTCTACGTTTCTTAATTTACCAAGGGAGTTCATTTGGTTTTTAAATTTTTGACAGATAAGTTACATGCTTCAAAAATCAAAAACTATTAAAAGGTATACAGTAAAAAAAAATCACTCCTCACCATCCCTGTCCCCCCATTCCCTGTCCACTCAGCCCCTTACCAGTGACCCCTTATTAGTTTAAATATACTTTGTTTCTTTATCCAAACATACGTACTTATTTTTATGCTTTTATATATAAATGGTAACATGTTCTCTATACTATTCTGCACGTAGCTTTTTTTTCTCCTTAACGCTATATCCAGGAAGAACTTTCCATCTCAGTAATTTAAAGAGTATCCTTATTTTCCTTATTACAGCTGCACACTGTTTTATATGGCTTATAGCATACTTCATTTTACCAGTTCCTTCCTGACTAGTTCAACCAATAACGCATGAGAGTGCATTTCACAATCTCATTGCCATGTGTTTTGCCAACCTGATAGATGAGAAATGGTGTGTCAGTGTAGTTCTGATTTTTGTTAACCTAAAAATGAAGTTGACCATCTTTTCATAGCGCTATTTATTCACATCTTTTGTCCCCCATCCCCTGCTTTCTGGTGAGTGGGTGGTTTTTTCTTTATTGGCTTATAGGAGCTCTTGGTGATGTGAGTTGCAAATATTTCCTTTCGGTTTATCATTTTTCTTTGACTTTGCTTATGGTGTCTTTACCATGGAAAACTTATTCTGGAGTAGTTGAATTTATGAATCTTTTCTAGCTTCTGGCTTTTGAATCACAGTTAGAAAACCCTACCCCACTGCAAGGTAACAAATTATAGATTCATATCTACATACAAACACCAGTTAGAAGATATAATACAGAGACTAGTCCATTTCCAATAGCAAACAATTAAATTACCAAAAAACCCACTAGCTTTAAACTTAAAGTCCAAAAACCTTTATAAGGGAAACTAAAACACTCCTGGGAAACACAAAACTAGACTAGAACAAATGTGAAGACATCTGGGATGTTCTTGGGTTGGTACTCTTAACATCAGAAAGATTTCCTATCTTTCTAAGTTATGTAAATTTAACATGATCCCAAAAAGAATATGACAAGGTTTTGGTATTTTTTTTTACCTAGACAAGTTGATTTCCAGAGTTCAAATGAAGAAATAGGCATAGCTAAAAAAAAAAATTGAAGAGTAAAGGGAGAAGTTTTTCCAGAAATTAAAACTTTGACATAACCCCAAGAACTCCAACAGTGTGGCACTGGTCCATGAATAGACCAATGGAAAGGAAATGGAAGTACAGAAATTGACCCAAATACATCCAGGAATTTAGATAAAGGTGTCATCTCCAATGGAGAAAAATATCCCGGTCGATAAATGGCACGAAAACTGGATCGCAATCTAAAAAAAAAAAAAGAAGTTGGATTGATGCCTTCCACCAGGATAAACTCCAAAATGGATCAAAAATGTACAAGGATGAAACCATAAAGGTGCTAGACAACAAAACGGGAGAATTAACTCCTTTATAATCATAGAAGGGGTTAATGCTTGATGACTCAGAAACAGTATTTCAGAGCAAAGACTCAGTCTGTAACCCATGTCTCGTCTTGGCCTGGTTGTCCTCCCTTCTTCAGTGTAATTTCCCTGTTTTGTAAAAGGACTCCCCTAAATGAGTTTTCAAAGTAGAGTCCCCAGAATCATAAAACAGTTGGATTTCTCCCTATTAGGGATTACTTGACTCAACTCCCTGAAGTCCTCCCCTTGAATTCAGACCTACCGCATACTGACTGGGTGACCGGCAGGTGATCACACACTGTGCGTCTGCACGGTCTGGATTCACCGTCTGTACTTGAGTGTGCAGTGGTGTGGGGGCACAAAGAGCATCCACGTCAAATAGCCTTTGATCCAACTTGGTGCTGAAGTGCATGGCACACCCCAAAACGCTGCCAGGGTTGGAGAGGCCTGAGCTGGTCTTAAACTGGTGGGCTTGATTCATACAGAGAAAGGAGTTGGGTTCACAAGAGAGAAGGCAGGTGAGTGCGCCACGAGACGAGGAGAGTTGTTTTGAAACAATTTCTAGGGAGCTGTCTGACATGGTGATGTGCGTGCCATTATTTCCTGTCTGCCACCAAGACAACTTCTTTTCTGCCATGATTAAGGGGGCTGAACACAGGCTAGTGAGGAAAGAACCAAGCTTGCCAAGGGGCCACGGGCATTATGCAGTTTAATCAGGGACGGGGTGAAGAAGTGGTTGTCATCCTGCAAATGAATATGATTCACCCTGAAGGCAGCTAGCAAACGGGAAAGGCACAGCAAGAGGCACGGCAGTAGCTGTAATTATCCGTCCCTGTAGGTGTCTCTGCCACCTCGAAATCATTAGGCCTGCACCATTCTGCTCCCCACCCCCCACCCCAGCTCACTTCAGAAGGAGTTCTACAAAGTCAGCATGTTAAGCTTCAGGTTGCTAGTAGGGATTCTGGAACCCAGTGTCTCCTTGATATTTTCATTCACAGAACAATTAATTGGAAATACTATAGAGCAGCTGCCCAGGAGACACCCAATGGTTTTCAACAGGAACATGGAAACCGAGCTCTGAGGTTTCAACACTTTGCTATTGGGAAAGAGAGTGAAGATTTCAAGGAGCACCTCAAGCCCTGACATTTTGAGAGAACATGCTCGAAAGGAACAACTTAAAATAGACCGAAAGGACACTGGAGGTGGGGGTGGCCTGGGACCACATAGTTCCACTAGAAGATCCAAACAGAGGGCCCTGCAGAGCCTCGCTGTCATACCCCGGCAGCAGAATGTGAAGTTAGTGATTATTTCATTAGGAAAATATTTGCTACACCTATAATCTTGAAGTGATAAACAACATACCAGAGCAGAACATTACTCTCCAGGATTAAATACCAAACAAAATAACACAGAGTTGACCCAGCTACAGCCATTGGGATGAGACATTGTCCAGTTAGCATGTCAAACACCCTGTGAGTAAGCTACAGGCAGAAAAAGGCATGATCAGTCAGGACACGGGTTGGAGAGGCTTTATATGACCAAGAGAACAAGGAGAGGCAGACAGACTAAACCCAAGCTGGCTGTTCCCTTTATTTTGTTCATTTAGTTTCTAATTTGTCCCTGTCATTTGGTTAATCAAAATCTGTCCAAAAAAATTAAAGTGACACTTACCCTGGGCTATGTCAGCTCATTACCTAATACAAATTGGGCCCAGTTCGAGGAAGATGAGGATGGGGAACGTCCAGCTCACTAAATGCATTTTTCCAATTAGCTGGGTGATTGCTTTGTGAATCACTGACTTAATGGACACATAAGCCGGGCAGTCCAGGATGTGATCCAGGTAGGTGAGGGAAAGCCCTAACTTAATCAAATGAAAAGAATAAATGAAATGATTGCATGAGGATGTAGACAGATTTTAGTCCACCAAGGTAGAGAAAAACAATGCAAAACCCATTTTGACAAAATGAAGTGTGAACTGTGCTAATGTTAAGGGAAAAAATGTGTTAAGCCCTAGGATGGCTGGGTAAATTACTTTTGCACAATCATAAGTCACGGGAGGCAAGGTTAGGAATGGATTTATTTGGGGGAATTGATATAAAAGCTCTGTCTCTCCTACGAACATGTTTTTGTTGTTAGTCACTGTACTAGGTAACCTGTATCTTCTGTTCGCAGGCTGTTAGGAAACAGGTGTTCTCTGTTTGTATGTGGGGTTTCCTTAATAGACTTATCATTTAGAACAGTTTTGGGTTCACAGCAAAATTGAGCAGAAAGTACAGAGAGTTCTCATACACCCCTGTCCTCACCCCCAACACATGCATAGCCTGCCCCACCATCCACATCCCAAAGAGGTGCATTTGTTATAATGAATGAACCTACATTGACACATTATCAA